GTAGCCCGTCCATTTATTTTGTAAACTAGCTTGTTTAAGCCTACCCGTTCATTTTCATTTTTGGATGGGCTCAAACGGGCCCAATTTTTACAGATTGTGGGCGGGTAGATTCCGGATTGCATGCTCGGCCTTATTTAGAACATTCTTGGGGCCCATGGTACATTTCCTTCATCAAGTGGAGATAATTTCGAAACTTGAACGCCAAATACAATTAACAATTACAAAGCATAGTTTTGGGAAATAGGGCCAGACTTTCACATTTGGGCCCAAATGTGCAAGACACCTTTTGAAGAAAAACATGGGCCGCTGACACTTGGTTCACCTCTTGAATATTCTCTTTGTTCCGGCCTCAGTTTGTCTTTCTAAAGTAAATGATACTACCGATTATTAATATAAAATTTAATTAACTAATGTAAAAAATTTAAATAAATTATTAAATTATTTAGATATTGTATACTCTAAAAAATTATATGAATCATTAGATTATATATTAATTTATAAGTATGACAAATTAATATAAAAAAATAATAAATATAAATAATTTAAAATAATTTAATAATTTTTTACTTTTCTTGAATTAATTAATTGGGTCTTGCGTTCAACTGGAAGCGTATTCCTTTGATCTTCCATTGCCGCTTTGCACACAGAGCGGAGAGAGAGCGAGAGTCTTCGACTCTTCGTTATGCTGATCATAGCCATTCGACTTCAGCGACAATTGTATCTTCAAGTGAAATAAAAAGAATATTTTAGAGAAAATTTGTCAATTATTAAAAAAAGGTCAGATTGATGACCACAAAGAGCTAGGTTGACCACAAGAGGCAGGGGATTGGGTTGGTGGAGACAAAGGAAAATAAAAAAAGAGAAAATAATTCTGATATAAAAGAAATTTATAGCTATCATTTTAATTAACGGATATGAAAATAATTCTGATATAAAAGAAATTTATAGCTATCATTTTAATTAACGAATATGAAAAATAAAATTTTCAATCAAAATAATATATTTTTTAATATCTCAAATTCTTTATATTCTTCAGATTGAAAAAAAAAGATTACTTACAAGGCCGCCTAAGAAAATAACCCTAAAAATGAATTTAAATTAGTTAAAAGCACAAAGCAATAATGCTCAGCCCCGCATCAGATTTGGATTTAAAAGTGACGAGGGGACTCTGTCCCTTGTGAAGAGATTCTGTGGGTCCCACTTCAGCTACCATCCCGTTCCACCCTTCGTCCACCAATTTTCATGCTCTACTTGGATCAATGCTCTATTAGCGGCATAATTGGCCTGTTGCGTTCCATAGGTATGAACGCGCGAGATGAGTTATCATTTAATATAATATTACTTTTATCAAATATCAAAAATAAATTTTTCATTAAAAATATATTAATATCTCAAATTCTTTATATTTTTCAGATTGACAAAACTTAAGAAAATCTTAACATAAACTGAGAAAAAATACACTAAATATTCACTTTTGCTATGTGCATTGTGCTGGCATCACAAGGGACAGAGTCCCCATTTTTTGGACACTCCAGGACAAATATCTACACCGTAAAACCCATATCAACTCTATCATTGTCACATTTAATGCTTCTAAAAAATCCCATATCAACTCTATCATTGTCACATTTAATGCTTCTAACTAACAATGGGTAGTGCTGTGGGACGGCACTCTACCCTTAACAGAGTTCAAATTAGTTAAAAATAATAAAATATATAAAAATATATATTTTTTATTTTCAAATATACTCTTATAAAGTTATAATAAATAAGAAAAAATAAAAATATGATAAGAGAGAGTATAACAAATGATAGAAAATTAGATAATTAAGGGTAAAATTAAAAGAAAAATGTTAGGACAAATCTAAATTAAAGTTTATAACATGAACCATATTTTTCTCTAAATTTGAAATTTATTTTTAGTTATATTTATAAATTACTTTATTTAATTTTCAACATAAATATATTATTTTATTCTTCGTTTATTATAATATATTATAGTATAAGTAGTTACTTTTTAAAAAGTATGTATATTAAATATAAATAAAATTAAAAAAAGTTGTTAATCTACTATAAATGCATCCCTTTGACGAATCAACTCCACGGAGCGATTCTGATAATACAGGTATGCCACCTTCTTGCCCAGAATCACAATCCAATTCACCTCTCTCCTCTGCGTCTTCGTCTTCACGCTCCCAGCAGCCCAACAGTACTACATCCAATCCTAAGATCATGGATCTGGATAAGCTTTTACTGGCTCTTGTCATTCCCATGGTAGTGGGCCTCGTCGTCTCTGGTAGCTCACTCGTCAAAACCACCGAGATGCGCATAGTCGTGATTATACTCTCATTTGCCACAGCTTTAATGTGGAACGGCCTTCTGCTCCGTGACACTTACAGCAAAAGTTCCACTTTCATGCTCTTATCAGGAGCTGCTTTGATGATGTTGTCCTGTTATTTTCTTGTTGGTTGTTACTTACCTCTATCCCTTACATGGATCCCCATCCTCTGTTGGCTGGCTTCTCTGGTTCCACTTGCTATGTATGGTTGGGCTCACTTCCGAAGAGACAAGACGAAGCATGACCCTGAAAACTCGCTATGCATGGTTGGGCACACTTCCGAAGAGAACTTCCGAAGAGACAAGATGAAGCATGACCCTGAAAGTGGAGGGTGAAACCATATTCATATTTAACCATATCCCGTCGCCAGCTCCATATTCACCATATGGTAATTTACCATATTTACTGCATTCACCATATTTACTGTATTTACTTGACCCTGAAAAAGTCCATTTAGGGGGTGAACTTAATAAGGCTAGCCCCAGCTATCTCCATATTTACTGTCGATCTTGGGTGAACTTAGTAAAGAGAGTAAAAAGTGAATCAGAACATGTGTCGTATGTGGGCTCTCTCTCTCTCTCTCTCTCTTACCGGACAGTTTGCTACTTTGCCTAAACCCTCTTTCGTTCACTTTGTTGTTGCGCTTGTTCGTGCGGTGAAAAAGCCTTGCGGTAGAGACTCTTCAAAGAAACTAAAAACTATATAAAATAGTAACCTAACCTAGGTCATTCACAAAGAAACCTAAATGATGTGAAGATTCCTAGCTAATCCAATATATCACAACCTAACAAATTAATGATTGCAAGGAAATGAACAATTATTTATTGTATTTTCTGGTTTTAGAATATAAATCTTTATAATTTTTAGATTCATCTAAATGAGATGGTGTGAAATGAAAAAGTGATAGAATATCAAATGTGGAAGAGTGTTCTAGAAATGTGCTCTGCCTTCCTGGTCCGATTGTGATGTTGGAGTGAAACCGAATTAAAAGACTGAACCAACAACTCGTTAGCTCATCCACCACCCAGATTCCACAACCGTAGCAATCCAGAGGTAAGTATAAAATCATTCGGCTAAGAATCAATTAATATAACAATCTAATCTCTCTATGACAACCACGACCATGCATTGCCTTGGAATAACATTCGAATTCACCATGAGAACTGAATCAACTCGATCAGCAATCACAGTCAAATTCTACGCTAAATCAGAGAGAGCAATTTCAACTCGATATTGCAAATGAATTATCTATTAATTCTTAAACAGATTCAAAAAGAAATCCAGCAAAATAAAATTCTTTATCAACTCCTGAAAGCTAGAACATAGAAGAACAACTTGTCCAACTAGTTACAGATCCAGACTGGAAGTTAAGAAATAAGGAAACTCCCTAGTTAGCATGTGGACTCAAGCTTGGCTACACTTCTCGAAGAACAGAAAGCACTCAGCCTCTCATCGTCCAGCAGCTCTACTGAGCTCCACAAGATAATTAGTCATCGAATCAGAGAGGCCGGTGATTGAAGGTAGAATGGAGGGAGATGGAGAGGGAAAGGAGTGAGTAGGAGGTGATCTCCGGTTGGGACAGTGGAAGCGGATGAAGTGATTGGAGGAAGAGGGCGATCGTTAGAGTGATTTGAGTGATGTCGAAAGCCCCTTCCAGTGTCTAGTGAGTGAATCTGATGAATCCTTCATGACCCGGTGAAATCTCCAATCTGGTTCTCTCTCAAGTGAAACGCAAAACATTGGTCTATGGTCCTCTCCGTCATTTTGTCAATTGCTTGGTCCTTTATTGTAATTCTGGCTACTGGTCCTTTTTACTTAATTCTGAAATTTGGCAATTTTCCTCATTACTCCTGCAAAAATCATATAAAATATTGTAATATTATGTAATCACAGAATATCCAAGATTTATGCAATTTAACCAACAAAACATACTAAAAACTCCAATAATCTCACAAATTAGGATAGTAAAATATGGGTTTATCAAATTCCCCCACACTAGGTTTTTGCACTCCGGGCAAAACAATGAAATAAGATTGAATCTCAAACACATTGCTAATGAAGAATGCTAAATCATGCTCAAGAATGAACTACTTGTGTTTATCAATCATTCCTTCAAATGCCATCAATCCAAAAACAGTCCCATCCTAAAAGATCAATCGTAATCGTGCAATTCAACCAAGGAAAGCAAGTAGAAGATAGGATTCCTCACAAGGTTAAGTGTTTCTCTCACTCTCATTGATGAAGGTTATTTCTCTCAAGACCATCTAGTTTAGGCTTCACCATAGGCTTGTAACCATTCTACATCTCCACCACTAATATGCTACAAGGTCTTGTGAATCAAAGGGTCTTTGCAAGGGTTGTAATGTTGGAAAAGCCAAATGATGGAAATGGAAATGAATGCCGTTGATTAATAGAACACTGCACATGCATCATGGTTCTGTCCAAGGCTCAGAGTCTTGTGCACAAATCAAATTTTGTTACTCAATACAGCTAAATGAATATAAAAATTAATATGAAAGGACTCCTTCACTCTTGCCACTCGATCAACTTTTATTTCTCCATTTTTTTTTCAATTCTGTTTTTTTTCTTTGTTTTTTTTTTTAAATTTTATTTCTTCCTCTCTTTTTTTTTTCCCATTTCAGGATCCTTTCTTTTTCCTCTCTCTTTTTTTTTTGGTTCTTTTTTTTTTCAAAAATATATTTTTTCTATATGGTAGCAATCTAGTAGCAAGAGTAAAAGGGATCATAATCAGTCCCAGTCATGCACAGATCATTATCAACGAATATACAACCATTAAAAGGAAAACAACTAACTCAGATTCAATTCAGCTCATCCTTTTCGTAAATCCTTCACTCACTTATGTGCAGGGTTCATCAATTATGGATGAAATTGAAAGAATAGTGAAGGGTTCAAAGGTTTAAGCAATGGATTTAATGTGTATAGGCTGCTGCTTGGGTCAAAAGGGTTTTGGATGAAATGCCCTTGTCATCTTCACAATTCCAAGAGCTCATGTGGTCTTGAATTAAGGATTGAGACAAGTTCCAGGAAGTTACCAAACTACATGGCATCACACACAATTTAGGAATAAATTAAGGCCCAAAATTTCCTTCCAACTGGTTTATTCATCTACATCCACCCACCAAGGATAAATTGCATGAGGATTGAACTTAATGCATGAGAAAATTAATTCATGATGCACATTTTCCAGAATTAATTGATTAAACAAGCAATTCAAACCTGAACAAGCTTTAACAGTATTCAAAAGAATGTGTTCAAGGTTCAATTAAATTCCATGACAGCAATGAAAGCAATCAGAATATTACACATTCCCCCCACACGTGAGACAAACATTGTCCTCAATGTAAAAGAAATAACAGAATAGGGAAAACCAAATTTGCACAGCAAATAGGAGCAAGAGAAATGAGCCAAGCCTAAGCCATGTCACTAAACTTTTACTACTAGACCAGTCCCCTCCCCCACACTTATGTTAAACAGTCAATTCCATATATAATATATTTCAAGTAAATCAAGAAATTAGGGGAAGGAAAGGGACAACCGTAGAATCGAAACCTCCTTAGGCTCTTGAAGCAGAAATTCTCATCCTGGATGAGAATCATGAATTTCAGCAATGTGGCTTGGGGTTTCTCACCATCCTTCTTTGGTGGAGGTTCAGGATCAATTGGAGGCGGTCCTAAGATATATGGTTGCTGTTGGCTCTCTTGGAATCCAATGCCATCAAGTTTCTGCCAGAAAAGACCAGAAACAGCATTAATACAATCAAGAGAAATCATATAAACCAAATGAAGTGGCTTATGTTTAAGTATATCTCTTGGTAAGTTACATGAGAGGGTCTCATGCATAGAATCATTAATGTGCCTAGGACTCCAACTTAGATTAGAGACACAGTCACTTAGACCAAAAGCAAATTTAAAGAGATCATATTCAATACTACACAATTTCTTAATGTCCGGTGTGAGGTCACATTAAAGTATAGGCTAGAAAGACCCTTGATCATGGTTATTATCATGTGGCAAGAATGTGAAACACTCAAGACTAGCTCTAGTATGCCTAAGCAGATCAATGTTTTTTCTATGTAAGGAATTTTCAATTCTGAGTGCAGATTCACTAGGTAACTCATCAATGAATGATATATCATATTCATGCAAACATTCATTACTATCATGACATGTAAAAGAAGGATTAATGCTAATAGAGTCAATAAAATGGCCCTTAGGTTCATGAGTTTCAGATCTGGGCTTTTCTTCTTTGATAGAGCAGAAAGCTTGGAAATCCTCAGATTGCACAATTGAAGACGCCATAGGCATTGCTGCACATGTTCTATTCTCCAATTATGGTGTTCAGGGTTAAGCTTGTTGCCTCCACGAGTTTTCTCAGTTCCAGCTTGCATTCTGGTGTTAATCTCTTCATATAATTCTGCAAAATCATCAGACAAGCCTTTCCCAAGACCATCATTACTAGAAAAAGAAGAAATAAGATCACTACAAGAATTAGAAAAGTAAAAATAAAATGCATGTGAGGTGGAAAGGAGGCCATCAATTGACAAGCAATCAATGCAACACACATCACTCTCACATGAACAAGGGGAGAAGAAAAAAAAGAAAAGGAAATTGGATCAGATTTTATCATATCATGCTCAAGAGAATTAGTTTCGGTCACATCATGTTCTAAAGCATCTCTATTAATGTCATTAGCACAAGAAGAGGGCTCATGATTAGACTTATCACCACTCATATCATTTGTAGCTATGGAAGATTCATGCTCAAAAGGAATGTCAATAATCATGGATTCACAAGTATGGAAACCAGTAGGTTCAAGAGAATTACCAACAAGCCCCATTGATAGTGTTTGCTCTTCCTCCTCACTTTCTTGGATTGTTGGCATGATGTGTAATGGCCTTTGCTTCAACCTTTTTAATCTATGCCTTCTTCTTGTTTTGAAACCAAATAGCTTGATCCCTTTAGGTTGCTTAGAAATTTCTTCTTTAGGTTCCTCACTCTTCCTTATAGAGCTAGCCATAGTTCCATTCTTCATGACAGCTTTAGAATCTGTCAAAACTCTACAAGAACCTTTCTCAAGCTCATTAAAATTAGTAGCATCTTCATTATTTCCAGAAGTAGAAGAAATATTTCCCACCAGCACATCAACATTAGAATTATCACACAAATCAGTGGAAACTTGTGCAGAAGCAATAGGTGTGAGTGCGGAAAAAGGAAATGAAGAGCCTTATTCTATGCTAAATCAGAGAGAGCAATTTCAACTCGATATTGCAAACGAATTATCATTCTATTAATTCTTAAACAGATTCAAAAAGAAATCCAGCGACATAAAATTCTTTATCAACTCCTGAAGGCTACAACATAGAAGAACAACTCGCCCAACTAGTTACAGATCCAGACTGGAAATTAAGAATAAGGAAACTCCCTATTTAGCATGTGGACTCAAGCTCGGCTACACTTCTCGGAGAACAGAAAGCACTCAGCCTCTCATCGTCCAGCAGCTCTACTGAGCTCCACAAGATAATTAGTCATCGAATCAGAGAGGCCGGTGATTGAAGGTAGAATGGAGGGAGATGGAGATGGAGAGGGAAAGGAGTGAGTAGGAGGTGATCTCCGGTTGCGACAGTGGAGGCGGATGAAGTGACTGGAGGAAGAGGGCGATCGTTAGAGTGATTTGAGTGATGTCGAAATCCCCTTCCAGTGTCTAGTGAGTGAATCCGATGAATCCTTCATGACCCGGTGAAATTCCCAATCTGGTTCTCTCTCAAGTAAAACGCATAACATTGGTCTATTGTTCTCTCCGTCATTTTGTCAATTGCTTGGTCCTTTATTGTAATTCTGGCTGCTGGTCCTTTTTACTCAATTCTGAAATTTGGCAATTTTCCTCATTACTCCTGCAAAAATCATATAAAATATTGTAATATTATGTAATCACAGAATATCCAAGATTTATGCAATTTAACCAACAAAACATACTAAAAACTCCAATAATCTCACAAATTAGGATAGTAAAATATGGGTTTATCATGGGGTTTCATCATTAATTAGCTTGGTTAGTACTCCCACATATTTTTTCCAATAATAATGAGCAATAACATTGTTTCACTTTCGTTTGAGTCCGTCTGAATCAGTTGACACAAAACGATATAGCATGATTTGAAGCATTTGGGAAGAGAGAGAGAAATAAAAGAGTTTACAAAATATACCCTGTTCCGCAGATTATTCCCTGTAAATGATATTAAGTAAATAAATTTAATCGATGTGTATATTTCTGCCAACCACAAAAATAAAATAAAAAAAACTTTAAATTTCTTCTCTCAGACAAATATTAATAAGTATCCATCAATGCAATCATAGCTAGCCAAATATTACTCCCTTCAATTCAAAATATAAAATAAATTTAACTAAATGAATAGTCAGTCAAGGATGAATATGCTTACGGTTGCCTCTCTATGCTCAAGGCAGACAGCATCTTTGCAAGACTCTGCACATCGTGTTGCTGTGAGCGGCTTGCAATTATTCGATTGAAAAGAGGGTGGCTTCGAAAGCTGTTCAAACAATGTCATTTCAAAATATTGAAGAAAAGGACAGTGATAGCAGTATAATAAGATCAGCAAAATGCCTGAGCATGTTCAAAACAAACAAGTTGCCTTCTCCACAGCTCTCCTGCATACCAGGATTCAAGAAACAGTTGCAGCCCATGTGCAACCATGAAGCATGCTCTGGAATCATCTTCAGCTGCACGAATTTTCCTTGCCAATTCATCATTTAACCCAGGGCTCCCGGATAGTAGGACAGCTCCTTTAGCCTTCATGAAGATTTAAATTATCAATCGCGCAAACAACTCTGGAGAAATAAAACACCAGATATGATATAGCCCCATAACTTGTAACCAAATTTCAATGCCATGTATAATGCAATCCTTGCTCCCATTGAATACCCAACTAGAGTAACCTTTGCTGGCGTGACATGATGGATCAGCTTATGTAATAAACCAGAAATTATCCCCAGAGATAAACACGGTTCCTGTCCAGGAATTTTTACGGTGTTTATTATTGATTGTCCATGACCAGGAAGATCGACCGAGATGCACCTTGCTGATCCTGATATAGCCTTCATGATAGCAATCCAGTCATCGCCAGTCCCAAGAAAACCAGGAAGAAATGCCAGAACATTATCCTAAATGGGATCAATCAGATTGAATCAGCATCAACATGAAAATCGAAGTTTGCTTGCAGGTAAGCTATGTCCCTATTACTAGGTTTTAATTTGTTTGAAGACAATCGAACAATCATCTCATAAATTACATCTTAGAAATTGAAAAGATACAATCAGTTATCAGGAAAAAGATGTACGTCATAAAGGGCTGTATTGATCTACAAAGATAGAGCATGTTACCCATATTCAAAGAAATTTTAGCATTATCAACTTTTGTATAGGCGTGTGCTTGCACTTGTCCATTTTACTAAAATGGCTTAAGCTATTTGGTTAGGATTACTACAAGCTTGCATACCCTTCGTTTTTCTTATAACTTTTAGATGTGGGTTCCATTCTTCGATACCCCCCCCCCCCACCCCAAAAAAAAAAGTAACTGGACCCGATTCACTCTTTCTGAGTTCAGTTATCAATTGAATCCAATTTTATGTGCTTGAACATGCATTCTTCATGTCTTAGGGGCCTCAAGTCCTTCACTTTTTTCCCTTCATTGTACTCTTGAACTTCAGAGACCTCATATCCGACGATCTTTTATGGCAGTAAAACCTTTTTCTTTCTAGTTCTCTAATAATATCATGTAAATTTTCCAGAAACTCTGTTCAGATATTCAATCATATTGAACAAAATGCTAATAAAAATTAGGAGCCACAAAAGCTAACTGATTTGATCAGAAAATCCAGGAGAAAAATCTGGAAAACAAATTAGGAAAATCATAGCAAGCAAAATCTGAAAATATGACCCTAATGTGATCCTCTTAAGAATGGAAATAAATCATACCAACAAACCAACTAGGAAATTGGGCCTAACACTAGGCTGTAGACTCACCAAACAACATGAAATGTGTATCCCATTCAGCCTGTGAGAAAGTAAAGTCGCAAGGCATAGATAAAAAATATACCCATACTACCAGTCCATTCATTCAAGGAACCTAGCATGTTTTATTTAGTACGCATTGTTTGGCTTGCTCCTATCAATTTAAGCTCTTGCAGCACAAGGAAGCTTATGAAAGGAATAGAAAGTGAACAAAAAGCAATACCTATTCATTTGCATCCGCTTGTTCCATTGATTAAAGTTGGAATATATGCTACAACTTACTTTATGCTCAATATCTCAAGGAAATTGAACCAAGGCTATTAGCAATATCTATGGAAACTGCTATACTTACATCATTCTTTTGTCCAATCTCTTGAACTCGAAAGAGACAAGAGACATTGTCAAGCTCTACAGTCATTTGGTACGCACGAACTTGCTCCTCGGTTACAACATTATTGATCACATTCTGGTTGACTCGAAAATTCTTTAACAGTCGTCTAGCATCAGCCACTGATGCTTCAATAAATTTACCCTGTGGATTACGGCCTATTAAAACGGGATTAGCCGTTATGTCTTCCTTAAGCCAATGAAAGGTTCCCAGACCATGATCTACAGACGGGACCACCTTCTTGTTTGACACTGAATCTACTTGCATTTTGCATATCAATATAATAAGAGAACTGCACATATGCAGACAAACTTAGACTGCTTTCAAATGCAGCACTGATAACAGCCATCTTTCCCAGCTGCTGAGCCCATCGGGCAATTAACGCTGCATTCTCATATCCACCAACAATGCTTGGCTTGAAAACCTGAAAGAATTGCAAGTCTAAGATAAACAAAAGAGTTGCCATTTTATATTGATGATATCATCAATGTATTATTCCTAATTGTCTCTGCACTTGTCACCTCATGCCATTTTAGGGGAACTTTTTTAGGGAGTATTTAAAATTTTTGAAGAACCTTGAATAGAAGTTCTGCTCCCTGCATTTAAACATAGGCAAAAATGAATCTTTGATCTCTTAACTATGAGGTACATTTCACTTTAATACTTTAATTTTATTAAAAATCATGTTAGTATTTTAAGATAAGGCCATAATTTTCCTAATTACTTACGCAGGTTAGATTTCTCACATTTCACTTTAATACTTTAATTTTATTTAAAAATCATGTCAGATTTCTCAGACTAAAATGAAACCTGCATCAAAGTTAGAGGACCTAATATACAATTTTTCCTTAAACATAATATTGTTTACGCAAGTTAGATTTCTCCTATATGAAAAAAAAAATTCAAGACCGTTATTTTACTATTTTTATTTGGTAAGAAATGCATAACTATACAACATATGTTGAAGGAAAATGCACGTCTACTCACAACAGCCACTATTCTGGTGTGAGAAAACTTCGCTAGCTGTTCCAGATGATTTTCATGAATGTAAGCCACTTTCTTCACAGAACTTGAGCATGTCATCTTCATCTTGAACAGGCTCCTGCAAAAGGGATTTAGTCACGAAGTTAAGAAATCCAGTTTGATACCATACCAAACATGCATAGACAAAAAATTTAGTGGAAGTTGAGGAACAAAAACAAAAGCTGAATGGTGAATCTTAGTATTACCAAAAGAGTCCTGTTTTTGTAGTCTACCTCAATATACTGCAGCCCACAGTCCTTCACAAAAGAGCTGAATTCCATGGCTTCTTCATAAGTCCATCTTCGGTTTACATCTGCACGGATGTCAATGTGGCAACCAACTTTCTTTCTCACTTCTTGTATAATTAGAGCAGAGTGAATAGGGTCGCCCCATCAAGCCACCTGTAATACCATTACAACTTACTGGCCTTTCATCTTCTAAATTCTTACCAGCCCACTTAGCATGCAGCAAAGAGCTGCAGCGTATGAAACAGACAAGCATTGCAAGACTAACTTACCTTCAGTTTAATTGCAGAGTATCCTTCCTCAACAAGCGCGGCAACTACGTTAGCTACTTCGGCCGGAGATCCATTGGAATCAAGTGGAGCACAAACCTGAACTTCCATTGAACTTTGATATTTGTCTTTTTCATTCGTCTGGGAGTGCAGTATGTCTAATAAACTGGACCCTCTTGCATTGGCTATAGCATTCAAGATGGCCATTTCCAAACCACATCTGACACTTGGAAAGATAGAAGAAGACTGCATCCAAGTACTATAACTTCGTTACATGAAAAACCAACCTAAGCCAGAGATTTTTAAACAACAAAACAGTTGCTACATCCAACAAAAGTAACTTCCTTAGAAATAAGTAAGGCTAGAACTTTAGAACTATATGATATATTAAACATTTTTCCTGTTCACGTCACAAATTGATATTGTATTGTCCAGGAACCAGTTCGCTAAATGGTTTTACTTGTTAGATGTAGGTCCAGGAGTGGCTTATAAATCCAACAAGCCTTCTCCCACAAATGCCCAAAGGACAAGGAGCATGAACTATGGACAAAGTACAGGCACATCAATATTGTCATTGCTGACATTTAATTTTGAAGAGGATTATCATCATGCAAGGGTTTAAATAATCCAAGAAGCTTCCACTTAGATTATAGTGGATGCAGGTCAAGTCTGACCTGGCCAATACAATCGGATTCAGAATTTGCCCAGCCCGACCTTGTCACCTTTTGTACTATTGCTTAACGGGTCCTTGAGCATAACTATCCCACTCAGGAACTTCCCCATGGTCCCCTCTGATTTGAGGAGAGAATGGAGGCAGTGAGAAGTTTTATATATTGTCAAGGACCTAGGTCACCTAAAAGCTTAAGCCGTTATGAATTGGTCCAGGAACAGCTTTATACCTTTAATTATATACGCAATGCAGATTAGACAACTTACCAAAATACCCAACTCATTCCATATCCAACGCGAAAACGAGCCCTTCAGTAGAGATAAGAAGCAACTAATTTTAACCCCTTTCATGGCATGCATAAGAAACCTAAGCTGATTTTCTGCATCTTCCAGATTTGCCCTATGGCTCTCAAGAGGAGCACATATTCCCACCAGACGAATATGTGCTTATATGTTGACCAGACGAATATGTGCATCCATATTCGCCCCACCACACGAATATGGCTCCTTTTTTTTTTTTCTTTTCCATCCACATTCCTCACAAAACACCTTTCATTCTTCATTCTCTTCAATCTCCCCACCCACGACACCACCCCTATCTCCAAAACAGCACACTCTCTCCTCATCCCCCACATCGCCGTCCCCATCCCCGGCCCCCCTGTCCCCCATACGCCTTCAAGTGGCCCTCCCACTGTGTCCCCACTCCCCCCCCCCCCCCCCCACCCTGTGGACACCCCCCGACCCCACGCCCACCAATCCCCCCCACCCTTGGATGACCCCGCCACCCCGACCAAACCCCACTCCCCTATCCCCACCTGACGTCCAACTTCTCGTAACCCCGACCCAAAGTATTTTTTTTCATTCACATTTTTTTGTGTGTTTGTAGCTCACTTGTTGGTAGTCTGTAGCTCTCTTCATTTTGCATTCTTCACTTATAAGTAAGTATGATGTCTTTTTAAAGATTAATTGATCATATATGTTGCTTATTGTTGTTTGATGAACTGTTGGAATTAGGAGTCTAGCTTGTGATTGTATTGTAATTTAGATTTTTAAGTAACTTGTGGGTAAGGCAAATGCATGTATAATCAATAGAATGGAATTGAGGAGTTTTTGATTTTCTATTATTTAGATTTATGTTTTCATGATATCTATGAGTTATGAAGAATAATGAGTGGTTTTAAATATTTTCTTGTAGTAGTTATGGTGTTTGATGAAATGGCTATCTGTATGAATTATATGAATTTTTTATTTTGTAAATTTTTTAAAATGCTTAATTTAGGCAGATGCACGTACGTAACAATATACAGCGAGTATAGAATCGCTCACAAACATTAAACTTTGAACATTTCTCATTCTTTTCACTTATTAAATTGTGTTATGATATAATATTATATATTTGATTTTTTCTTTTGAAGTTGTTTGATCAAGAAGGAGAAATTATTTTAAAATTTTGATGATTTGCCATTGATAGCTATACTTTTATTTGTTCTAAATTATTGTAATTGTGATAAAAAATTGTTCTATTGTTGCATGTGGTATTATCTTATTGATTGATTAGATTATCTGAGTTTGTATGTTGTATTTTAGATAATTTTGAATTTTGTATTATAATTTTGAATTTATTTATATTATTATGGCCTGTTTTCTGTAAATGCATATTTTTGGCATTTTGAGGACCTCTGCATGTTAGCCTATTTGTAGTTTTTTTTAAATATGATGGCCAAGATCAGGAGGCTGAAAAGAGAGGCTATAGCAAGCTTTAGATAAGGTTCAAGCCAATTTCTTGTAAATCTAAGGTGGAAAAAAAAATCTGAGCTGGATCCTATATGTACGCGCCACATCAACATAATTGGTCCGCTATATTTGACTGTTTGGATCTATTAAAGCAGAGCGATGTTACTCCTATTTTAACACTTCTAGAATGACATTGCCTCGAAAAAAAACTTATGGATAATATAGCTCCTAAAAATTTTGAGGACAAAAATAGACCTCAACCTTAAAATTATTATCAAAACATTAAATAATTAAAAGAAAAATAAGTAATTAAATTCAAACTATTAAAACTTGATATAAAATGGTTTAAGATTTAGAGGAAGATTGATAAAGGAAACTTGATTCTTGTTGTTTTGTTGTTTTTCCGTTTGTATTCCAAAAACAAATAGTTTAAAACTCTAATAAATGAAAGGAATAATTAATCTTCAGGTTATTATAGTTTTATCTAATTTTTAATTAGGTCCCTATAAGAATTTTTTTATTAAATTCTTTTACTTTTACTTGTTTTTAATTATGCCCCTTTATTTTTTTTATCAAGTTCTTATAGTTTCACCTATTATTTTTTAATTATGTCCTTTGTGGTTTTAATAAAATTATTTGTTAACTTTATTCTTTAAAATTAATTTTATTTTTAAATTAGTAATTATATAATTGGAAAAAATAATTAATATAATTTTTTGCTAATTAATAATTAATCAGAATAATAAATTATACTTAAATATAAATTATTTATAATTATATTCTGATTTTAGAAAATTTTATTATTATAATTGGAATTTTATAATTATAAAAATCAGAATTGAAAAATAAATAATATATATGTTTAACTTAAAATTTAAAAGAATATTAACATAAGATTATTATAATAATTTATTATTTACAGAATATTATTATTTATAAAATAAAAAATAAAAACTATAAGGACCTAATCAAAAATAAAGTAAACAATAAGGATCTGATTAAAAAAAAATCATAAAGACCTGAATAAAAACATGTGAAATTATAAGGACCTGATAAAAAAAAATACAGGGGTATGATTAAAAACCGGTTAAAACTATAAAAACTTGCATATTAATTATTTCTAAATGAAATAAAAATATTTTGTAGAAAAGTAAATCTAAACCGTTCAAAGGTTGATCTTATCATGAAAAAAGGAAAAAACAAGGGACCGTGACACGAATAGTAAAAGAGGGATGGGGGGAAAATCTCCCCCCAAACAAATTATTGAATGTCAAAATCCCAAATAAAAAAGTATTATAAAATTGTGTTTTTATTTGCTTGTCAAGTTAAGTGTAGTTAATTATTATTAAAATATAATAAATAATACTGATTTAAAATTTTAAAATTTAAAAGTATTTTTTTAAGAATTTTCTTCACAGAGATAACGTTACATTGGGAAACAGTGTGGGTGTGGCGATTAAACTCAGACATAGCACATGGAGCAAGGTGTATCAAAAGATCGATGCATCTCGCCATCTCCCATTGCAACTTCGAATACTATTTCCGATTTTAATTATAAGATCTATTTTTTATTTATAAGTAAAATTTTATAATTAAGACAAGATGTAGTATAGTGTGAATATTTTATTGAGAGTCAATAGAAAGTGAAAAAATAACAAAAGAAAAAGCTAAAAATTACTGAATTTTAAATCAAGTTTGATAATAATATTTTATTTAGTGTTGACAATATTAAATTTTGAAATGATAACAAATTTGTGTTCACATTTATTATTTAGTATTTAATAATTTTTAACTTTTTTTAAAATCATTTTCTCAGAGAAGTTGTGAAAGATGAAATAAGTTGAGGAGTTAAAAGGTAGAATGAACCCTGTGGCACACAGATTATCCCCATTTTGCCCATATAAATAGCGCTACTGCACGACAAAATCGAGCCCTCCATCAGCAACATTAAAAAGGATAACAGATTTGAAAAGACATATCTCTATCATTAGTTTCTTTAATCTCAAAGTGAAATAAAAAGGACTGAGGGCTGACTGTGTCCCCAAAAATTGTGCGCTGAAAAGCCACCTTTCAGCAATGAGCCAAAAGCTACCTTCGGAGTCGAGACAAAATGAACAATCAGAGTCTTCATTCCTCTTATTTTCTCCATCTCCCTCATTTTAGAGGTAGTCCAAGTCGAGGAGTTACCAATTTTGAGGAGAGGGGTTCAACAATCAGAGTCTTCATTCCAAGAGGCAAAGGAAGATGAAAATAACTAATTGCTTGTATGAAAGATGGTATCTTTTTCGAATTTTTTTCATAGCCAATGTCATTTTTTATTTTAAAAAGAAATGAAGTTCTGGGTTAAAAAAAATTGACAGTGCAATGCCACGAAACTTGTCTTGTATATCTCATTCCTATTGTTTACTCTTTGGCTTTGTCTGGAAGTATAATAGCTTCATCCATATTTAAATTTTTATTTATTTAGAATGTTTCTTGAAGTTAATGCAGGCATGAATGAAATGATGAGACTGTTTTGCGCAAAGCCATAGTGGTCCGACAATAGTTTATGATGAGCATGAGCTGTCGTTGTCGAGCACGGTTAAAGGCATCAAGCACTGTCTTCTCAGATGGCCAGGAATTTGGCTGAAAGCTGAAAATAAACAAACGGTTGAGATTATAAGGATGTGATTTTAAGCTCCTGAGGGCCGCTGAAAATAAGGACACTGAGAAGATCCAGATCCTTCGTTATGCTGATTATCGCCATTCGACTTCACTGACTGTCGTATCTTCAAGTGAGAAAAGAATATTTTAGAGAAATTTGTCAACTATTAAAACACGTCAGATTGATGACCACAAAGAGGTAGGTTGACCAGAAGAGGGAGGGGATTGGATTGGCGGCTGAGACAAAGGAAAATAAAAAAGAGAAAATAATTCTGATATAAAAGAAATCTAAAGCTATCATTTTGCATAAAATCAATATGTCACTTTTAACGAATATGAAAAATAAAATTTTCATTGAAAATAATATTTTTTTAATATCTCAAATTCTTTATATTTTTCAGATTGAAAAAAAAACAGCACTTAAAAGGCGGCCTAAGAAAATAATCCGTACAATAAGTTTAAATTAGTTAAAAATAATAAATATGTTTTTTTTTATCAGAAATAAATACGTTAAAATATGTGAAAGAGAATATAAATAAAATACGTAATATTAAAACAGTACTTAAAAGGCGGCCTAAGAATATAAATACATAAAAATAATAAATAAGTTTAAATATGTCTTTATAATAAATAAATAAAAAGAATGAAAGAGAATATGTGAAAAATATGATAAAAAAAAGATATTACAAAAACAAAAGAGAATAGATAATTAAGAATAAATTTAAAAAAAATACTAAATATTAAAACAAATCAAAATTTAAAGTTTATAAAGTAAAGCATATATCTCGCTAAATTTAAAATTTATAGATAGGAGTAAAAGAAGCCTTTTTTTTTTTTTGGGATACAAAGTAAAAGAAGCAATTCCGTCTGGTTTATTTTCCTACTTAAAAGAATAATGTTTCTGGGCCGCGAAATTATTCCCACCCTTCGTCGCTGAGATAGATGCTAGGCGTTGCTTCTCAGTAAATGTACCAATGTGTCTGCACTTCTCCCAAAATAATGTGCCAATGTGACGTTGTCAAATGTGCCAAAATAAAGAGTACAATATGCAATGTGGGGTTTTGCCAAAATGAAAAGTAAATGTGCCACATATGTGCCACTTTTGGCATAGGAAATAATTGTGGCATCTGACCGCGATTCCGCGTTGCTGTCCGGTAAAAATAAATAAATAAATAAATAATGCCCATAATTTGACATCCCACGCCCTTGCTCTCTTTTTTTCTCTTTTTTTAACTATTAGGTTAATATTTTATCTTTTTAAAATTATTATTAAATTATAAAATAAATAAATAATAAATAATAAATTCTATTACAATTTAATTTTAATAGTTTAAATATACTAAATATTTTTAAAATTATTTTATAAATAGTTTTGAAATATATTAATTTAATAGTTAAAAAAGGAAGAGAAAAGAAAGATGCTGGGAAGGGAAGAAGATGGTTTCGATGGCTATATAAATCACTTTGCTCTCTCAGTTTTATTCGCATGGTTCAACTTTCTCCCTACTTTTCCCTTCTACAATCCAGATGAGTTCATATACTCTTCCTCCTCCTCCTTTTAACGACCCTAAAGACAAACACCCAGAATCAGCTCTACAGAAGAGCGCTTCTGATAATGCAGAATCAGAATCCATAGAAGCCAGTAAAGACCGGCTTTCTTCCCCTCCATGTCAACAGAACTCTTCATCAGCTGATGAGACAAGTAGAAGGGACACAAGTAAGTTCCTGGAAGTGATGGAGATCGTGGATAAGCGGGATATCGGGAAGCATTTACTGGGTCTTGCCTTTCCCATGGGACTCGGCCTCGTCCTCTCTGGTAGCTCACTAGTTAAAACAACCGAGATACGCATAGTCGTGATTGTACTCTCATTTGCCACAGCTTTGCTGTGGAACGGTTTTCTGCTAAGGAAGACTTACAGAAACAGTTCCACTTTCATTCTCTTATCAGGAGCTGCTTTGATGATGTTTTCCTATTATGTTCTTCTTGGTTGTTACTTACCTGTATCCCTTAAATGGATCCCCATCCTCTGTTGGTTGGCTACTCTGGTTCCGCTTACCATGTATGGTTTGGCCCACTTCCGAGGAGACAAGATGAAGAAGGACGAAGGACCCTGAAAATGGAGAGTAAGGTTATGCCTTGCTATCACCTACTTCATGCATATCTCCATTTAACGTTTACTTATATTTACTGTCATTGGAATCTTGAAACCTTGTATCCTGCTTTACTGTTAGTTTCTGTACTAAGGTTATGGGCTTTAATATATTATGGAAATAAAGGAGTTCGGCTTTGACACGATGGTACGTGTCATCCGACTTCACATAAATGAGGAAAAAAGAGGAAAAGAAAGCAGCAAAAGGGCAATCTGAACATGCATCAATGTGGTACGGGCGGTTTGCCTGAACCGTCTTTTGCCTCTTTAGTACATATTTTGTTCAAATGGCTGCTGTCCTTGTCCGTGCGGTTTCATCATTAATTATCTTGGTTAGTACTCCCACATATTTTTTTCCAATAATAATGAGAAATAACATTGTCTCACTTTCTCTTGAGTCCGTCTGAATCAGTTGACCCAAAATGATATAGCATAATTTGAAGCATTTGGAAAGAGAAAGAAATAAAAGAGTTTAAAAAATATACCTTGTTCCGCAGATTATTCCCTGTAAATGATATTAAGTAAATAAATTTAATCGACGTGTATATTTCTGCCAACCACAAAAATAATAACAAAAATTTAAATTTCTTCTCACAAACAAATATAATAATTATCCATTGATGCAATCATAGCTAGCTAAATATTACTCCATTGGGTTCAAAATATAACATAAATTTTAGAGAAAACTAATTTAGATGTTCTTATAATTTTTATCAATTTTAAATCAGGTCCCTAAGCTTTTTTTTTCCTTTTTATTGAGTCCTTTAATTTTCTGCCGTTAGATCCATTAGCCCCTGCCGTTAGATTAAAACAAACACAGTTAAAATCTCCGCTAATAAGTACAGCTTTGAAATCCATCTATCTCTTCCATCATATCCCAGGCTTTGAAACCAAGAAGTGATACCCTTTGGCTCACCGGGAAAAAACATTGCCCCGTACAGGAATCCCTCACGTGGTTTTTCACTTCAAACTATCTTTAAAAAAAAACAAAGAAAAAAAATCATATTGCTATGAAAAGGTTTGTCCCTTTTTTTTTTTTTTAGTGAACGATATGAGTTCAACTTCAACTCTTCACGAAACACTCCGTAAACTTGGCTGCACATAATTTTAAATTTTTTTCACATATTGAACCTTGTATTTGTTTTTTTTTTTTTTTCACATTTGGAAAGGTCTCAGGCCTTGGGTTACGGCGGAAGAGAAGGATTTACTGTCATTTGGATATTAAAACCTTGTATCCTTAATTTGTGTACGAGTTCGGCTTTGATACCATTGTTTTGTTTCGTCCGACTGATGCGTTCGGAAAAAGATAAAAAGAAAACAGTAAAAAAGGATAGCTTTCTGGCGGCTGAGAATCTATCTGCAAAATTGATGTGCAAATCATGCATATATAATTCTACGAGTTGTTCCTTTTCTTTTCTTTTTCCTTCCCCCCCCCCCCCTCTTTTACCAAATCACGGGAGAGTTTTTAGTTTATTAGCTATATAAATCTATATATATCAAGCTCACGAATAATTTATGTCTATCAGATCATTAAATTTCTCACAAACTTTGAATTAATGCCGCTGCTTGGCCTTTAATAAACATATGCAAGGTAGGATTCAAACTGTGTTTACTTTCTCCATCAGAGTTTTCAATCTAATAACTAGCTGGCTTTGTAAATTTCTTGCTTTCTGACATCTGATGCCCGGCCTTTTTGGATCTAGTAAAGACCATAAATAATTAAATTTGTGTAAAATTTAGCAGTACTTTTTTTTGCCAAAAGAAAAAATTATAGAATATGAACTTTCAATTTTTAATATTTTTTTAATACTCTCACTAAATGTAGGGTATTTTAGGAAAAGTAATACACAACATTTTTCCAATAATAATGAGAAACAATCTACTCAACTAATTTTCACTTTCGTTTGAATCTGAATCAGTTGACGCAAAATGATGTGGTATAAATGTATAATTTGAAGCATTTGGAAAGAGAGAGAAATTAAATACAAGAGTAAACAAAATATACATTATTCTTCATATGATTCCCTGTGAACGATATTAAATAAATAAATAAATGTAATCGATGTGTATATTTCTTCCAACTACAAAAATATAAAAAAAAAAGCTTTAAATTTTTTCTCCCAAGCAAATATTAATAGTTATCGATCGATACAATCATAGCCAGCCAAAGATGTTTAATTGTGTGCCTAACCAGTAAGTTGGGTCAAACTTGGATGACTGCAACTTTGGCTGATGTTACCTCTTCAAAGAATCGAAAACTAAAGGGAGTATTCCCAATAACTATTTCGTGTGGTATGTTTTACCAGTAATGATGATCAGTGGAAAAGTCACTACAAGAAAGTGTTGTATGAAGGTCCTTGGGTCATCTTTCAACATTGTATCCTTTGTACATAAAGTAGAAATCCATTACCAATAAGATCATTTAATTGGCACAGTTCATTAGACATATATAGTTGGATTTCTTGAGCATTCGATATTTAACTATGTGTATGAAAAATACCTTTTCGAGAGAGCAGTCAATGTCCACTTGTTTGATCTTTATGCCCCAAAAGAGACTAGTCTTTGATTGTATATTCTTGATTGGGGGGGGGGGGGAAGGATGATTATATATTGAGCAAATCTTTAGAATCCATGGCGAAGCTAGAAAGGTTTACATCAATCAATATCTTCCAAATATTAAAAAGATCAATGGTGCGCTTGCTGAAATTGGCTCTCCTATATTTCGTTGGAAAATCACATTATTGATGCAATTCCTGATGGGCTTTTCGAGGAACACGACGGATGTATTTTTCAAGTTTTTTTTTTTTTTGGATTTCTCCTCCGGTATCCTAGGGAAATAGGCGTCTTTCAGCTATGACAACGTCCCCAGACTAATCCGGATCGAAGGCTTGCAAGGAACCTTTCGGTCGGCGTCCTCTGGCTCCTCAGGGCTGCATTCCCACAGCTCGAACTCGAGACCTGTGGTTAAACTAGGACAGTCCCAACCAGCTGACCTAACCCCTCGGGGTTGTATTTTTCAAGTTTTAAATGTTCTGGACTAGCCTTTTCATTCAAATTGACCGAATGTGACTGGCTGACGTTTTTATGTAAGCATTTATATAAATTCAAAATAATTAATATAATAAATAATTTAATATTTATATTATTTTTATAAGTTAAACAAATAAAATTTAGTGTTTAGAGCTTTTATGACAATACTTAAAAATGTTAAGAATGTAAAACAATAAAAATGCAACAATAACTAAATTAAAATGTTTGCAGATAAATCCAGTTAAAATAATTACAGCTGAGAAATTCCAATAATTGTAATTAGACTCGACAGTTCAATGAAATGAAATTGAAATTATTGAAACTTATTCTAAATTAGAATATGCGCGCGTGTGTGATAAACCTTTGAAATACTAAGTTCGACTATTTTCCATTTCGCACAATCACCCCCGTCCCCCAGCATCCCCGGAATCCTGATCACTTGCATGATTTAACTCTGTATTGTATATATATTTGGGCAAGCCCGACAAACTTATTTTAATAAAATCCTTTTCTTTTGTCACAAGCATCTGATGTCAAATTTTGTTGACTAATTCATACTTGAGGAATCCCTCAATACGAATTAGTCCATCTATAAACATAAATTTTGTCACGTGCAAGTCTGGCTAAAATGTTTACGCATCAATTTTTGAATAGCTTGGCTTATCTTGCATTAGTAACTCTTCTTTGTAGTACATAATACAAGACGTCACATGGTGTTCTGATCTTCCCAAATTTGACAACTTAATTCAACATTGATAACCTGGTCATGAAGTGTCTCAAGGCAGAAATGATTGAAAGAGGGTTCTCCAGATGGACAGCATGGCCAGTGATGGGAACCTCAACCACTTCATGAATATTGTTGCATTTTTCCTGCCCTGAGCACATTGTGTTGATCATTGCCTCAGTAGTTTTCTTAAATTTAGTATCCTTCTCTCCGTACATGAGCAGAAGAGGCATTCTGCAATTCTTCAAATCTTCCCACAGCGAACTGTCAAGCAGGAAGAGGAGAAAATGTAAGGAAGGGGGGAAAAAGACACTTTTTTGCAAATATGTGTTGACTTTTACTGAACAGAACCTACATAACTAAAATATGCTCATTGGGTTCTCGTAATACACATCTCCATTGCGCCTTTGAAGCATCAAATACAAGATAAATATTGTCATAGGCTCATAGCTAACTAAATTAATAGTCAGCCAAGGATGAATATGCTTACGGTTGCTTCCCTATGCTTAAGCCAGACAGCATCTTTGCAAGACTCTGCACATCGTGTTGCTGTAAGCGGCTTGCAATTATTCGATTGAAATGAGGGTGGCTTCGAAAGCTGTTCAAACAATGTCATTTCAAAATATTGAAGAAAAGGACAGTGATTGCAGTATAATAAGATAAGCAAAATGCCTGAGCATTCCCAATGTTCAAAACAAACAAGTTACCTTCTCCACAGCTCTCCTGCATACCAGGATTCAAGAAAAAGTTGTAGCCCATGTGCAACCATGGAGCATGCTCTGGAAACATCTTTAGCGGCACGAATTTTCCTTGCCAATTTATCATTTAATCCAGGGCTCCCAGATATAAGGACAGCTCCTTTAGCCTTCATAAAAGTTTAAATTATCATCACGCAAACAACTTTTGAAGAAATAAAACACCAGATATAACCCCACACCTTGAAACCAAATTTCAATGCCATGTATAATGCAATCCTTGCTCCCATTGAATACCCAACGAGAGTAACCTTTGCCGGGGTGATATGATCGATTAGATTATGTAATAAACCGGCAACTATCTCCAGAGATAAGCACGGTTCCTGTCCAGGAATTTTTACAGTGTTTATTATTGATTTTCCATGACCAGGAAGATCAACCGAGATGCACCTTGCTGATCCTGATATAGCCTTCATGATAGCAATCCAGTCATCGCCAGTCCCAAGAAAACCGTGAAGAAATACCATAACATTATCCTACATTGCATCAATCCGATTGAATCAGCATCAACATGAGAATCTAAGTTTGCTCTTAGGCAAACTATGTCCCCATTACTAGGTTTTAATTTGTTTCAAGAGAATCGAACAATCATCTCATAAATTACGTTTTAGAAATTGAAAAGATACAATCAGTTAGCAGGAAAAAGACGTACATCATAAAGGGCTGTATTGATCTACAAAGATAGAGCATGTTACCCATATTCAATGAAATTTTAGCATTATTAACTTTTGTATAGGCGCGTGCTTGTACTTGTTCATTTTACTAAAACGGCTTAAGCTATTTGGTTAGGATTACTATAAGCTTGCATACTCTTCATTTTTCTTATTACTTTTAGATGTGGGTTCCATTCTTCGATACTTCCCCCTCAAAAGTAACTGGACTTGATTCACCCTTTCTGAGTTCAGTTATCAATTGAATCCAATTCTATGTGCTTGAACTTGCATTCTCTATGTCTTAGGGGCCTCAAATCCTTCACCTTTTTCCCTTCATTGTACTCTTGAATTTCAGAGGCCTCATATCCGACAATCTTTTATGGCAGTAAAACCTTTTTCTTTCTAGTTCTCTAATAATATCATGTAATTTTTCCAGAAACTCTGTTCAGATATTCAATCATATTGAACAAAATACAAATAAGAATTAGGAGCCACAAAAGCTAACTGATTTGATCAGAAAATCAACGAGAAAAATCTGGAAAACAAATCAGGAAAATCATAACAGGCAAAATCTGAAAATATAACCCCAATGTGATCCTCTTAAGAATGGAAATAAATCCTAGCAACAAACCAACTAGGAAATTGGGCCTATCAGTAGGCCACAGACTCACCAAACAACGTGAAATGTGTATCCCATTCAACCTGTGAGAAAGTAAAGTCGCAAGGCATAGATAAAAAATATACCCATACTACTAGTCCATTCATTCAAGGAACCTAGCATGTTTTATTTAGTACGCATGGTTTGGCTTGCTCCTATGAATTTAAGCTCTTGCAGCACAAGGGAACTTATGAACGTAATAGAAAGTGAAAAAAAGAAATAATACCTATTCATGTGCATTGGCTTGTTCCATTGATTAAAGTTGGAATCTATGCTACAACTTACTTTATGCTCAATATCTCAAGGAAATTGAACCAAAGCTATTAGCAACATGCATGGAAACTGCTATACTTACGTCATTCTTTTGTCCAATCTCTTGAACTCGAAAGAGACAAGAGACATTGTCAAGTTCTACAGTCAGTTGGTACGTATGAACTTGATCCTCCGTTATAACATTATTGATCACATTCTGGTTGACTTGAAAATTCTTTAACAGTTGTCTAGCATCAGCCACTGATGCTTCAATAAACTTACTGTGTGGACTACGGTCTATTAAGACGGGATTAGTTGTTATGTCTTCCTTAAGCCAACGATAGGTTCCCAGACCATGAGCTACAGACGGGACCACCTTATTGTGTGACACTGTGAATCTACTTGCATTTTGCATATCAATATAATAAGAAAACTGCACGTATGCAGACAAACTTAGGCTGCTTTCAAATGCAGCACTGATAACAGCCATCTTTCCCAGCTGCCGAGCCCACTGGGCAATTAATGCTGCATTCTCAAATCCACCAACAATGCTTGGCTTGATAACCTGAAATAATTGCCAATCTAAGATAAACAAGAGAGTAGCCATTTTATATTAATGATATCATCAGTGTATTATTACTAATTGTCTGCGCACTTCTCACCTCATGCCATTTTAGGGGAACTTTTTTAAGGGAGTATTTAAAATTTTGGGAGAACCTTGAATAGAAGGTCTGCTCCCTGTATTTAAACATAGGCAAAAAATGTATCTTTGATCTCTTAACTATGAGGCAAGTTTCACTTTAATACTTTAATTTTATGAAGAATCATGTCAGTATTTTAAGATAAGGCCATAATTTTCCTAATTCTTAACAGCCCTAAATAAGTTGAAGGAAAATGATTATTCACATATTTAAAAGCTATATTATTAGTATTATTATATTCTAACTATTATAAATTAGTATAATAATTACAACTAAAATGCTTTTAAGACATTAAAAATTATAGAATTAAGATAAGTGGTTTTGATTTGAAACATATTTCATAAGACACCCTAAATTACAGCATTGAAATAAATAACTTTCATTTTTTCAAAGCCTTGACATACATAAGTTGTATTTGCGCGTTGTAAATATTTATTTTAAGATGTTAAAAATATTTTAATTGTAATAAAAATTCAATTTCTTTTTGATAAAATAAAAAAATTCAATTTTAATTCTTATACTTTAGGTTTTTAAGTTAAATTTTCCAACATTGCTTAAATAAATAAAACTCATTAATTTTAAAGTTGCAATTCCAAACATTTTATTAAAATGTTTTAAAAATAATTTATTTTATGGTTATTATTTTTATGTCATAAATCAAATTATTTTTATTTTTCAATACTAAAGCATTAATTAATTATGTAAACAACAAGCATATTTAATTATAATAATTAGATTAATTAATGCATAATAATTTTAATGAGATGAACTTTGAGCATGTAAGTTGTCATATTCCGTTAACTTATTTAACTGTGTTAAGTGATACGAAATTTTTGACTGCCCTTTAAAAATTAAAGGACTAAAATGAAACCTGCATCAAAGTTAGAGAACATAGTGCACCCTTAAATATATAATTATCTATGCAGGTTAGATTTCTCAGATATTAAAAAAAAAAAAAATCTAATTAGAGATTTTTATTTTATTATTTTGATTTGATGAGAACTGCAAACTATATAACATGTTGAAGGAAAATGCACATTGACTCACAATAGCCACTATTCTGGGGTGAGAAAACCTCGCTAGCTTTTCCAGATGATTTTCATGAATGTTATCTACTGTTTCATCCAGGGCAACAGGTAAGCCACTTTCTTCGCAGAACTTGAGAATGTCATCTTCATCTTGAACAGGCTCCTGCAAAAGGGATTTAGTCACGAAGAAGAAATCCAGTACCAAACATGCATAGACAAATAATTTAGTGGAAGTTGAGGAACAAAAACAAAAGCTGAATGGTGAATCTTATTTTTTTGTAGTCTACCTCAATATACTGCAGGCCACAATCCTTCACAAAAGAGCTGAATTCCATGGCTTCTTCATAATTCCATCTTCGGTTTGCATCTGCACGGATGTCAATGTGGTAACCAACTTTCTTTCTCACTTCTTGTATAATTAGAGCAGAGTGAATAGGGTCGCCCCATCGAGCCACCTGTAATAGCATTACAACTTACTGGCCTTTCATCTTCTAAATTCTTACCAGCCCATTTAGCATGCAGCAAAGAGCTGCAGCATATTAAACGGACAAGCATTGCAAGACTAACTTACCTTTAGTTTAATTGCTGAGTATCCTTCCTCAACAAGCGCAGCAGCTACACTAGCTACTTCAGCCGGAGATCCATTTGAATCAAGTAGAGCACAAACCTGAACTTTCGTTGAACTTTGATATTTGTCTTTTTCATTCGTCCAGGAATGCAGTATGTCTAATAAACTGGATCCTCTTGCATTAGCTATGGCATTCAATATGGCCATTTCCAAACCACATCTGACACTTGGAAAGATAGAAGAAGGCTGCATCCAAGTACAATGACTTCGTTACATAAAAAACCAACTTAAGCCAGAGATTTTTAAACAACAAAAAAATTGCTACATCCAATAAAAGTAACTTCCTTACGTTGGGAAATGAGTAAGGCTAGACCTTTAAAACTATATAATATAATAGACATTTTTCCTGTTCATGTCACAAATTGATATTGTATTGTCCAGGAACCAGTTCACTAAATGGTTTTACTTGTTAGGTGTAGGTCCAGGAGTGGCTTATAAATCCAACACGCCTTCTCCCACAAACGCCAACAGGACAAGGAGCATGAACTATGGACAAAGTACAGGCACATCAACAGTGTCATTGCTGATATTTAATATTGAAGAGGATTATCATCATGGAAGGGTTTAAATAGTCCAAGAAGCTTCCAGTTAGATTATAGTGGATGCAGGTCAAGTTTGACCTGGCCAATACAATTAGATTCAGAATTTGCCCAGCCCGACCTTTTGCCACCTTTTGTACTATTGCTTAAAGGGTCCTCGAGCATAACTACCCCACTCAGGAACTTCCCCATAGTTCCCTTTGATTTGAGGAGAGAATGGAGGCAGTGAGAAGTTTTATATATTGTCAAGGACCTAGGTCACCTAAAAGTTTAAGCCGTTATGAATTGGTCCAGGAATAGCTTTATACCTTTAATTATATACGCAATACAGATTAGACAACTTACCAAAATACCCAACTCATTCCATATCCAACGCGAAAACGAGCCCTTCAGTAGAGATAAGAAGCAACTAATTTTAACCCCTTTCATGGCATGCATAAGAAACCTAAGTTGATTTTCCGCATCTTCCAGATTTTCCCTGTGGATCTCAAGAGGAGCAATCTACTTGATGCAATGGCACATGAGTAAATTTTTAGATATATTTTAAAAAAAGAAAAGAAAAAGAAGAACATGCATCAAAATCTAGAGACAAAATTATTAAATCAGTAAAAAAAAGGTGCACAAGATGATAAAATGTTACGTAAATACCAACCTCACCAAAACCCACACTTCCATCTTCAAGAAATAGAGATAAGATAAAGCCTCCTCTATAGAAATCTTTCTGATCGTGACCCAGAGATGTTGAAGTTGGAGGAGCACATAGTGCAATTCTGCCACAAATAATTGCGAGCACATCGTGAGAAATATAAAATAATTTAATTGAGAATGTCTAACTCACTGTACAATCAGACAACTAACCTATATTGGGAACACTCTATTTTATGCACCTTGAAGTACAAGAACTCATCTTTTATAGAGCTTTGGCTAAGAGAAGCTGAGAGTAATCTTATTGTGTTCTCTGCTGTCTGGAGGGCAAACTTTCTTAGAATACTGAGTCAGCATGCGAAATACATTAGGCGTAAGGTAAGAATCCAAATAACTCATACCACGTCTGAATTAAGAATTGAAGGACTTAAACCTGTGAAAATTTGCGTTGCCATCAATGGAACTTTCAATTTCAATTAAACAGTCCTTGTCTTCATTTTGTGCTGCAAATAAAGCATCCTCTAGTTCCACCTTTGTCTGGGCATGTAAGTGTTTTATACTGCAATCACATTGATTTTAGTTCAGATGAAGACAGGACAAAAGGTACAAAAACAAAAACATTTATTCCAAGAAATGTTTAGATTCTTACCCATGAGCCAAGCATAACTTTCCAATTGAAATGTTATGAGAGGTGTGAAAATACTGATGCAGTATACTGGGTTCAGTTTTATTTGCCAGAGGAAGAAAACTGAAAATTCCACCTCCATGATTGTTTAACACAAGTATTGTCATCGGTTCCCTTAATTTACTGAACATGGAAACATTGAGAATATCAACACACATACATGTGAAAGGTCATCATAAAATATAGCTTAACAGTAAGTACATCAATAGATTACAGGAAACCTTGTAGTGAAGTAATCAAGCATATACTCCTAAATGACATTTAATACATGATCCATAAACCATTAAGGATCAGACTGCACCTTCGTCAGAATAATAAGAATGCTTTCAGATTTTTATCAACAGTGTTAGGAATGTACATACACTATTAAAAATGAAATTTGTACATGAGCTCATACCTCTGATTCAAAATTGCCAGACTATTTGTGTCGTGGAGAAAAGAAACATCTCCAATCACGCAAAACACCTAACGAAATTATGAATATAGCATAACAATGCAAAGAGAAAGAACTGGTGATTATTGTTTGATGAAAATATTCTTGTGAATGGGGAATGTTACAAATCTTTCCAATATACAAATAGACAGCAGTGAACATTGTAGGAATTAGATCCTTTTGGAGTCATAATGGCGGATATATAACATACACACAAAAACACATGGATTTTCTGAACACTTGGTATACACAAGCCTTGACTGCTAACTGGCATTTTGACTTCAAGGCATTAAGCACAAATCAGACTCAGAATATTTATAAACAAGATAAAACATATTTGTTCAGGTATTCTGAAGAATCTCCCTCCAAGGGGGGAAAACATGACTGGAGTAACATGAGGAAAAATTTGATTAAAATGATGACCGCTCTGCAGGTTTTCAACACAACTAAGAAGCTTTATCAATGGGACAGTTTATAGAATCATGAGGAGGAACCTCAAATCATGAACTGAAATAATATAGGCTAACCATTCAAATGAGTATTTCCACCAATAACAGGTAAGTTTTTTATGATGTCACAATAACACAGGACATGGTATTTGTACAGAGAAGTTACATGTATATTTAAGCTTTAACCATAAATTACATCAATATATATTGTAGATATATCTGGGGAATGAAAAGTTGCAAGCTTAAATTTATCCACCAAACATTTTGCCTTCGACAAACCAAAACAAAAATAGTACAAGGAAGTCTTATTTTGGTCCCTGAGAAATAGGTGGAAACACAATGTGGTCTTCTGGAAATTAATTCTTTCAACTTAGTGATTTAGCCCCTTAATTATTGTGTTGAGCGTGGGCTGCTCAAGTTCACCTATTATAGGAAGAGGCCCAATCTGTGAGTTAGCACAAGCCATATGAGAGGGATATTCTTGGGATTTCCAGGTGGATGGTTAGAAGGAGAGAAAAGCGAGTATATCGTATGAGGAAAGTGTTGAAGGGGGTGTGGAAAATCTGACAGTCAACGAGAAGAGTACTTGTGCCCCTCGAACACGTAGGGCAGTGTGTTTTGCCCCGTTTCCTTAGTGTGTAATTCTCCACTAGACCTACACGCTGTGGAGAAACCACACGCTTCTGCATCTATCAAGTTGGATACATAGCGACCAAAAGCAAATTTTCAAAAGCTCCATTATTGACTTCAATCCAATTAGAAAAGACCCCATCATGGAATGCCACATATGCTTGTTCTGGTATCATATAATGTTGACAAAGTATCGAACGATGTTGTGTGAACTTTACTCCATTGGAAATGTAATTTATGGACCTGTCACCGTTATTCACTCTGTAAGATGTGTTAGAAATTAAATATTGTAGGTAACCTAACTGTTTCTAACTAATCATTTCCCCCTTTTGTAGCTGATATGCAGGAATTTGCTGTGGTGCACTAGGCATTGATTGGTTGTTGCCACTGATAGCAGCACCTTTCTAAGCCAAAAGAGATGCCAGGGATTGGTTGAGAAGGGACTAGAAATAAGGAATCCTATTAAGGTTACTATTTCAAAATCTCATTGCTTTCAGTCCATGATACATATCACCAAAATAAACCATCAAATTGAGAGGCGCTGATTAAGGGAAAAGAAAAATATTTAATATATTTATTATTTATTATTTTTACCAATTATGCATATCCTAGGTTAGTTTTAGATATTATATCTTCTGTTAATGTTATTATATGTTGGAAAATAAATCTAGGATATTAGGAATTAGTAAAAGATTTGATATCTAAGATCCAAGGATAAGGGTTAGGTGACTGTATATTAAGAACTTTTGTACTCCGTTTTTAGCTATCAAATAAAGCTAACAGAGGCGCACTCTGCAAATGACTTTACGATGAAATGAAGCACAGGACAAAAACATCAATCACTATTTTCATAAACATGAGATGTTACGCCCCATGAAAAGACAGAGTTTAAGCGCTGAAAGAACAGTCCTCGAAACAAAGTTAAATATATTTTTGGAGGGAATATACCTTTTTGTTGCATCCTACAGCAAAGCCAATGGCCGTGCTAAGTAGTCCATCAATACCACTAGCCCCTCTATTGCCAGCCACCCTTATCCAGCTAAATGGTATGTCTGAATTTAACATGAGAGACGTAACACTTTCACTGCATATCAACTTACTATGCCCATACATATCTGCATCACGTATTGGCATGCTGTTCCCAAGAAAGAGAGCAGATTCAGAGGAAAGAGCATTGGACATTACATGAGCAACATGAGGTTCTGTCAGCGAACACTCAATACATATTTGAAACTGTATTTCCCATTCAACCTAACAATTAAGAAGTTGTTAGAGAAATCAGAGAGCAGAGACAAAAAACAGGAGACTGAATAATAATTCAGACCAATAGTTAGACTGAAAAGGACGTCAAATTTAAGATTACCAAACAATTAAGTCTAGAATTACTGATTGGAAACTTCAAAAAGGAAACACAGAAATTTTTTAAAGCTTTTCAGCCATTTACGACTCCAACTTGTGTAATCATGAAATTTTAATTTGACAAGCTTAACATGTGATTAAAACTCAATACATGGTCTCTTAACGCCTCTCACTAAATCCAAATTCCAGGGGATTCAAATCACTGTTGACATAATTGAGGACTTAATTGTCACCAATCGCACTATTAATGATGAGATTTAGCTTGGTCACACCCTATAGACATAAGAAGACGGGTGCAACAGTATCTATGATTCTCAACGCAAACGAAGGGAAATTCCACTCTAGTTAACAGTGGGATGTATCAAATCTTGACAAACTATGACAAGCCAAAATAGCACTGGAGCTGAATTTAGATACGTGGACTGTTAAATTTGTGAAGGTAAGGGTATATGGTTAGGGGAACTTAAACTCTGGACTTTAGCATCCATGAAGTTATTATGTGACCATCAAGCACAAATAGAGATTGTAAAGAAGCTGGTCTATCGTGACAAAGCAAAACATCGAAATTGATTGGCATTTTATCAAGAAAAAAATTTTTTTTTTGGGGGGGGTGTTCATTGAAAAGAAGCAATAAAAATGGCATTATATAGAACCCAATCTATAATGACAAACCAAGCATATTGAAATTGATCGATATTTTATCAAGAAAGAAATATGAAATTAAAATCACTGAGCTAATTTACACACCTAGACAATCCCAGAAAATTGATATTTTGACCAATGTCATTCAAACTCCAATTTGATGTTCACTTATCCAAGCTAGAAACATTTGACGTTCACTGCCCAACTTAAGGGGAAGTGTTAAATTCCTAAATTTTCTTTGGGAATTTCAAGGATAATATTTTAAGTAACTTGTACCCAAAAGAGACTATTTCAAATATCCTAAAGCTCTTGCCCTATAAATAAATGTTCTAATTGCTTGTAGATACACACAAAGATACTCATTACATAATAGAATACAATTCTTCACGGTCAAATATAAACTAGACAACATTTTGACTGCTGAAATTCACACCATAATATAATTTGAAACCATATTAAGCTCCTATGGAAAGGCTACTGCCAAAACACATCCATGTGGATTTTTAAAAAATATCATCATCATAACAAAAACTCTAAACCGTCATTTTTGGGAATTAGTACCATCTTACTCAAAACTTGTAAGGAAGTGGCCAACTTGCTCCTTGAATGAGGAACTCTAGCCTTTAGTAAAAAATCCACAAAGCCAACAATGGAACTTTGTACACGATGAGTCACAATATGTGAAGGATCCTGACGGTTTGGGTTCTTGTCAACCATAATGTATGAAAAGGGGACACATTCATCAAGCATCTGACAGATTCGTTTGCTAGTTATTCTACTTCCAATCTGTTTCAAGTACAAAAAAGGAGGGTCATGGAAGACAAGTAGACAAGAATAATCATGAGAACCAATATATATGTGCAGAAAAGCACCCATTGAAAGAATTAAAGAAGATATGTGAATACCTAGAAAGAAAAAGAAAGAACTTCATTAATCCAACGTACCTGAATAACCATATCAATCTCTAACCATTCTCTGACAGACTTGGAGAACAGAGCATGATCAAGATGATCAACAAATATAAAGTTTCCTTCAATATCAGGAAAAGAAGTGAAATGCTTCCTTAACCGCAGTCCAGAAAGGATATCTGTCACAACAGGCCACATGAGGTGTTTAACCAAATGAAGAGCAGCCCATATCTCATCCTCCGTATGGATGGCACCAATGACAAGAAGGCCACTTTTGGCCCTTTGAATCAAATTTAAAATGTCAATCAATTGGCCAGTTGCATTATTAAATCTACAAGACTGCTGCATATGAATGTACTTTGTATATGGTTCACCATTAGTGATCCAAAAGTCTAGGCCTTTCAAACAGCTTGATTTCCATTCGCTGGGACTGTTTTCCAATGGTTCTCTGAAAGGGCAGTTAATATGGACTGGACCACGTGGTGTAGAAGTAGCCCAGTGAACAGCAGAATCCACTGTAGTAAGTACCATCTTTGCTGGAATCTGATCCGTGGGAGTAGGAAGATTGAAGAAATACCTCACAAAAGAACCAAAATGGTTAACCTGCAAAGAAATTTAAGAATGTGTACCTTCAGTAACCAACACAAACATGAATATTGATATTCCCTCGTTCAGAGCAACTAATCTATGTGTCAGTGCAACTAAAAATAAATAAATAAATAAAAAGACCTTAAATGTCAAACCTACACGTTCTGTTAGGCTGTTAGCAAATCAACAATAGTAAAATATGTTTGGAAACAAGAATTTCGACTGCAGAAACAAGCTTCAATTTTAAAATGACAAAATATAGCAAGAAATTAAAATGGAATGAAGTAAAAGTCAAAAGGGTATGTCATTCAATATTATATTACAGTAAATAAACTAAATGCAGTCTTTTCTTTTTAGGCGAACAAATATATAAAATGCTGATGACATAAACCATACCATTTTCAACATCAAACCGCAATCAAGGTCTTGTTTGACAATAATATATAGTAGGACTTATAAATATCAGCATTTCTTAAAGGCCCCACGTTCAGGTCCAATAGAGAGTTCATGAGGCAGATTTATTGAAGGCGGATATGCTATCCTCATCATGTAGCATCCAGCAAACCAGGAAAAAAATCAATAAATGCCACACTAAAATAAGAATATCCATAGCTTTTACCTGATAAATTGCTTGATTTGCTCCACATTCCTGCAGCTCTGGAGGTCGATCAGCTGTAAGTAAAATAAGTGGTACAAAATCTTGACTAGCCTCCACAACCTGCAAGTCATTAGTAGTCTGATATTATTCTGAGTAATCAAAATTCAAAGGCAATATTCGCATCTGAATCTATTTTTGTTTTGGCCAGAATTTGCATATAAATCTCAACAAACATGGATAGCATATTCCTCAAGAATTTTTTTTTTTTTTAAAGGATCATGGATGGAATCAAAGGTACAAATAAATTCTGAGTCATTACAATAATTACGACATCTAGCATAAATCAACATCACTAAAAAGTTGATTAAACTCACAGCAGGAAGAAGATTTGAAACTGCAGTCCCTGATGATGTTATGACTACTGCTGGAATGTGAGATCCTCTTCCATATCCAACAGCGTGAAATGCGAGAGAGCGTTCATCAAAACATGAAATACATGTGATTAATGCATGACTAGATGCAGCAACAGCAAGAGGGGAAGACCTTGATCCAGGTGCTATACAAAAATACTAGAACAAAAAGCAAGTCAGAATGTTGCACCATAATGGTTATAACTGAATCATAGTTATTAATCACATCACTTACTCTCAAACCAAGTCGGGAGCATTCTTCAATAATTAGTGATGCCCAAACAGCATTGATATTGGCACTTTCTTCCGGTGAGTAAAACAATTTATTTGCTTGATCTAGCTGATAGTAGAAAGAGACACAACCTGAACAATCTTTAGCCAAGTTTGATCCTTGAAGCATTCTTAAACTAAATCACCTATGCATTTTGTAATAAGATAACCTATAAACTTTAAAGTTGATATGTTATCATTAGCCCACCAACAATATGAAGAGTCAAACTATTTGCACTAGTGCAGTACAGCAAATTGCCAAATTTTAGTAAGTACAGCTGTACAGACACAGATAAATCAAAACATACCACGCTGCACATGTCTAAATAGATTCAAAATCGTGAACAGCTATCATTACTGAATCACATATGATATATGTGATACGTATCCCAGTAAGATGCAGCGACAATCTGGCTATGAGGTTAGGCAAAGTTGGGAGCTCAACAAATTGTTAACAGTTTACTATTGCAGCTAAAGATTGCAAACATCGTATTGGCCTATTAGGTTTGACTATGGCATGTCGTTTAGTTCTTTTCAAACTATAAAATGGCAATGTGTTGGGCACCCAAATGTAATTGGACCTTTCCAAAAGGCCAGTCATTGAGGTGGGGAAACCGAAAACCAACCCACTTAAGTTACCTTTACTCAATCTATGCTTTTTTATGAGTAAGCCAACACAAGAATACATAATTACATACCATGTTAGTGGCAAAAGCAACAATTGGTGAGAGCCTGAAACAGAATTGGGTTGAAGATGGAGACTCTTTCTGAAAAGAGAAAAAGAACAGTTCAACTATGAAGAGAACTACAGAATGTAAGTAAACCAGAATCAGTGAAAAAATAGAAGACAAAAAATTTACCAGGAAAAAGGGCATACCAGTTCCATGATGTCAGCCATGCTTCCCCTTCCTCCCGGTGCAATAGAGTTCAAGTATACCTAGCAAATAATGTCAACCAGAAAAAGAGCAACAAACAATCAATAGATATAGGCACTCGGATAAAATAACTTTCGCAGAAGAAATTTTACAAGTAAAAAAAAAATAGATATCAGATAAAATGCTCATCAAAACATTACAGGTAAAAGAAGATAGAAAATTGGATCCAAATATTGCCCAAGATCAACCCAAGTTAGCTGAAGGAAGTGATACCATGTACTCTAACATGGCTGCAGTTCATTAATATTAATCCTATATATGCACCACTGACCACCCAATTGCCAGTCTTGACCTTTCAGGACCCTTAATATCCCTAACACAATTAGCAATAGGGAAAAAATCGGATCCTAAAATTTGAAATAATGAAGAAACAGGTGTCTTAAAAGCAAAGAACCCGTCTAAATCATGCCCAGATTCAATGATCAAGGAGAAAAAGGCGAAACATCCACCCATTTGGGTGAGTTCTGATGTCTTTCCTTTACGTATTTGGAAACCAACTAGCTTGAAACAGCTCTGATTGAGCATAAAACAGACGTTTAAAGGACCAACAGAAGTTTATCACTGTCATTGTTATTCTAAGAAAGAGTCTCAGAAAAAATTAGAACTATCCAATATACAAATGCTAGAAACAGGAGCATTATGCAGAGAAAACAACCAAAATGACATGGCAAAACCATGGATGAAGGAAGATTAACACCCAAGTAAACTTCAAAAATAAGAGAATGCACATGCCCCAAGTAAAAGAAAGAAATTGGGGGGGGGGGGGGGACAGATTAATCCAACTGCATTCCATCATCATGTTATACACATCACTGCCATGCAGCCGCCACACCTCATACTAAGCAAGATTCAGACACAAGGGAAAGTACAACTATTTTCTGGAAAAAGAAACGATGTGCTGTGCATTAGCAAGGCCACGGAATAAGCAATGCAAAAGAAAAGCAAGAATAAATTATAAGCATAACTGCCAAACATTGCACTTCAAATAATAAGAGTTCATTCTTTCAGGAAAGAAAGAAACAATACCCTCGGAATAGATCTGTTTTCCACCAAACTGAATTTTCTAAGTGCAGATGTTGTACAGTCGGACTGCCATGTGTCAGTAGTGGGACAGATATGACGAGATAACTTCACAAAAAAAGATATATCACCAATGAGAGTTGAGACATAAAAATGAAGAAAAATTAAAGGCACTGAAAGATAAACCCAAATTGTAGTTTAAAACTTCATATTGATAGCAACATGGTCTAGACTAGAGTCTTGACATTCTTTAAAACATAACTAAAACAAAAACCTGCAAAGATATGACAAAGGCAAGCTAAATACCTGGTTAAGGGAAATTTCAAGGTAGTGAAGGGCTTCTTTGAATGTGGAGAGGGAAGAGTCATCCCATGCAAGTGTTGATGTCAAAACGGAAGCCACATCCTGCTCATCCAACTCAATCTGTAATAACAGCAGTTACTGTTTAATAGCTAGTGAATATAGGAATGTTAAGAATGCAATCAGGACAAATAATTAATAACATATAATTTCAACTGATGCCTATTTCACTGACAATAAATTCACCTGGGGGACAAAGAAGAAAAAAGAACCATCTTCATGATTCACGGAATCTGAATCTTGATTGAAATTAATATCCATAAAGCCATAAGCCACTATCAGGGTTGAATCACTGGAAATATATCTACAGGTAATTGAGTACATTATTCAGTCACTTCATAAGAAGTCAAAACCCAGTTTAACAGGAAATCGTCCCTATTATTTGCATGTAAATGAAGTTCCTTCACAAATGAATGCTGAAAAAAGAAAACGGAAAGACGGTAGCCTCTTCACATAGAGATTTTCAAACTAAGTTAAAAGCCAGGTAGAACAAAACCTGTACTTGTCATCTATACTCAAGCTTATATGCAAAGAAATTAACCGCCAACAAGTTGGGATTTTCTGTGCGATTCTTTTAAACTTATAAAAACATTCCGTATATCCCCACCCTTCTTGAAGCCACAGGCTTGCTGATCAGATCAATGTCTTCATATTCCAAACATACATGCTCAAAGTGCTCCCATGATTCATTGAAAAATAGAATCTACAACCAAAAGAAGAGAAGAGTTTGGATTTCTTTAACCTTTTGAACAAGCTTTGCGTTCCCGTGTTGAGAGAAGAATAACCAGTAAAAGCAGCGGCAGCACCAATTCCAAAAACTCCACGGCGACCATTCACATGCAGCGACTTACACGTTGGATTGTCTGAGTTCTTGGAAAGATATATTTGAGGAAAAACTCCAGATGACTCTGGCTGACAACAAAACCAACTTAAAGCCTTAGGACCTGGAGGCACGGCCACCTGAAAATTCACATCCATATAGCGTGATTTAAAACGTTGCGTCACTGCAACTAAACAGCCACCATTGGAAAACAGAATCTAAAGACACAGAGGAACTAGTTAACCATACCTGAAACCTAAGGAATCCACTAGAGCAACAAGGAGGATCCAACCTTAACGTTTGCACAGCCTCCTTAATTCTTTCAAGTCCCTCCTCCAATGTCAATGCCGGAGACAATGTTCGCGTAATGCAATTCTCAAAAACCAAATCAATATCCCCATTGTTTACAATGTCATCCATACAGATCATCGGGCCGTCGAACTTCACCCCTTCCACAAACTACACATACAGAAAACTCGGCAATAAAAAGAGAAGCCAAAAAGACTGCAAGTACACATGAACAGAGAGAAGAATAAATATCAATAGCACCTCATAAGTTCGTTTTCGGCAAAGAAGCTTGAAAGAGCTAGAATTTCTCCTCAGAAATACTATAGCCGTTGTCGAAGAACTTGAATCCGCAAATGAGATTCTGGTGCGCTTCGAGAACGTAGTTACTGATGAGAAACCATTACCAAATGACAATGCGCGATACCTCATCTCGATAAGATGAGAACAAGGAAAAGAAGGAATGTGCAATAAGGAACGCTGCTATCTGAATGTACAGAGCGTGGGAGTTCGGTAAGACGACACGACGAGTGAGCCATGGATAAGGTCAGCGCAGACAGAGTGACCCGCGAACTTGATGCTATTTATATTCAAGAATTGCATGGGGCAATAAGTTTGGCTCACCTATGACCTATCCCACGCTCATGGAGTCAGTTTAGATCCAAAATTACATTGCCTTGGGTGAAAATGGCTTAAAAATTGGGGGGAAAATTAGCTTCTTCTTGTTTTAATTTGAACTTTCTAATATAAAATTTTCATATATTATCCAAACAAGTTTTAAATTGAATTTTTTTACAAAAGTTTAATTTACTTAAATATAAATCATATTACATTATTTGACTTTTATTCTATCTTCAATTTACAAAAAAATTAATTAAGATAAAAGTCGTCATTGTGAAAATCGTACATGTGAAATTATCAAAAGTTTCGGTATTCCAAAATCACCAAATTTCAAGCTCTAAAAAGACATACAATCATTGAACTACTAAAGCTTGTGGATAAAATAGGGCAAAATAAATAATACTACCTTCGATTCTTAATATAAGATTTTGTTTGACTTTTATTTTGGTCCAATTATAAAACCACAATTCACTTTGTCTCTCATATTTATGTATTTTTTTTCTCAAGGTGGTCTTTCTAATAATAATAGTTCTAGCCAATCAACTTAGTAAGTAAGGATATTTTAAGAAACACGGTATATATTTATTACAAATAATCAACTTAACTTATTTTCTTAATCTCCTCAAATTAGTCAACTAGTTCTTATAGTTAGGACATGAGGGAGTATATATTTATATATAAAAGATAACTATCCAACTTTGAGATGTATGAAACAATAAGACAACTATAATAGCAACAATTAACTAGAGAAGAATCATACCAGGACAAGCTTAATCATAAATAACTATAATAGCATAGCAAGTAACAACAGTTAACTAATAAATGACCACATCTTCTAAGCCAATGATCACTTTTTTCCCAAACATAAATTTTATCGTGAATGATTATAACAGCGTAACAAATAACAACGATTGAATAATGAATAACCACATCATTTGAGTAAGTGACCACAATTTTCACAAAATACAAGTTTCACAATAAATAATTATAATAACATACCAAATAATAACAACTGGCTGGCAAATGAACATTTACTAGGCCAATATGCCATTTGCTTACTCCATCCCAACCAGGCTCTCATGTGCACTTTGATTCCATCATATCTTTGAAGAAATAAAAGTTCGTTTAATTAGTAAGGAATTGGTTTATAACCTACCAGTTCACAAATTTGAATCCCGTTATCCATGTGAAAATTTTATTGATAATTAATTTATAAGTATTTCTGTAAATGCTATTCAGCCTAGAGGCAAGTCCTATCCTAGTGAGTCCCTATAACTGAGCTCACCTAAATTTTTTTATTAAAAAAAGGGAAATGGGCATTGCACTTTACTTGATCTAGTTAATTGTTGTGATTAAATGCACAGTAGAATCCAACCGCCTTTGGAATTGCTCTAGGAATTGGGCGATCAAATTTGTATAGTGAAACCATCCCAACTTCTGATTGTGGAAGGCATTATAAATGATGTATCTACAAGGCTTCCGAATTATCTGGCCCTGACTTCATGGGGCCTGAGCTCCACCAAAACGTGAAGCGAGGCGAGGCTCTGGGGGAAGGGCAATAAGGCCACTTTCTAGAGCGCATAAGTGATACCCAAAATATTACCACTCACCACTAGTTTCCTAAGCATACCAATAAAAATTGGGTCTAATAAAAATGATTAGTCCTTTATAATGCGATGAATCAAAATTTGTCAAATATTATTGCCACATAAGAAATACATTTGTGATATAAAAAAAGATTATACAAAAATGTTTGGTGAATTTCAATTAAGAGGGAAAAAAAATAAACATTACATGTTCAAATTACGTAATGATATAATGCAATTATTCAAATATAGTGAAATAACAGATTGATATATTTACAAGAGAGAAAAAATTAGATAAATTTCCTTATATCCATTATGTTAAGCTGTTTGTTCAGTCACATGGTTATGTTTTTTTTTTTTTTCATTTGGATATGTAATTAAATGCTACTACCTCTATTTTTTTATTATAAGTGCTTGTTTGACTTTCAATTTTGTCCTAAATATAAGGTCATAATCCACCTTATCTTTTATATTTATTCATTTTTCCAAAATAATCCTTGTAGTAGTTGCACATATTAAATGTTTTATCAAATGGTAATTCTAGTTAAGATACATGATTAGTAAGGTATTCTAGGAAAGACAACACCTATTAATAACAAATAACTAATTTAACTGACTTCTTTAATCTTTTCAAATTAGTCAACTAGTTCTTATGTTAGAGACTGAATGTAGTATTAAATACTACTCCTCTGGTTCTTAATATAAGACCTATTTAACTAATTTGATTAGGTTAAGGAAGTTAGGTAAGTTAGTTAATTATAAGAAACATGACATGTTTTTTCTAAAACAAAATAACCATCTTTCTTAATATCGTTCCTCCTTCACTTATTTGATTATAGTTGAGAGAGTATCTATAGGGGTAATTTGAGAAAAATTGATAGATGTGAGAAATAGGTCATATATATAAGACCAAAATTAACCTAACAATTAGGCCCTGTATTAAAGACTGGAAGAATAATATTTTAAAAACTGGATACATGATCATATGTGATAGACAAACTTAACACAATAAATATAATAAACTTGATGTAAGTTTCGAAGTAAAAATTTAAAATCTAAGATGAGTCATGCAGAATATTATTTAATTAATTAAATGCTGTATAAATAAAATACGTTGGAATAAAATGCCACATCAACAAACTCTTAGCCAATTAGACGAGTGTAAAACTTATGCCATGGCAAGAAATCAAAGTCAAAGGTTATGTAAAGCACAACTTACACACGCCAAGCGCAAGCTTTCTTCCATCAGGCCCTAATTCCAAAACTACCTCTAAATCACACAAAAATTACCACATTACCACGTTTTGAAACCCAATTACCTCAAGGGTAAAATAGGAATATAGGAATTTTTCAAATTTTCTTCGTCTTCAAAGATTCGGAGATGGTGGTGACTGGTAATACCAGATTTGCTATAAAATCCCATAACTGAATTGCCGTCACGCAATAGGAAAAAAGAAAAACTAACAGAGAAAGTTATTATGGCTTCACAGTTATTACTCACCATCGTCTTCTTCCTTGTTCTCTTCTCCACAGTGTCGTCGAGTGTTGCTACGTGCGAGTCGAAATATGAAGGAACATGCCATGACAAAAAGCAAGCGTTGAAGTTCAAGCTTATAGCGATATGTTCCATATTGATCGCTAGCATGATTGGCGTGTGTCTCCCAATTTTCTCACGTTTCGTCCCGGCGCTCAAGCCCGACCGGAATTTGTTTCTTCTGGTGAAGGCTTTTGCTTCCGGCGTTATTCTGGCGACTGGTTACATGCATGTTTTGCCGGACTCGTTTGATGATTTGAGATCTGAGTGTTTGCCGGAAAACCCTTGGCATAAGTTCCCGTTCACTACATTTGTGGCAATGCTGGCCGCGATTTTCACTCTCATGGTGGATTCATTCTCGATCGGCTACTTCAAGAAGAAGATGTCTAATGAAAGCTGGTGAATCAGAAATGTCGGGGGAAATAAAGCCAATGAATCAGAAGAATTTGACATTGGTCACGGACAATGCGGAAAAGAAACTTTAAAGATCATTGAGGGGCAAGAACAGTTATTGAAGTACCGTGTTGTAGCTCAGGTGAGTTACATGAATCTATTGCTGTATGTTGATAAATTATTTAAGCCTCTGGGCTTTCCATAGACGGAAATTCCAGTTCCCGCTTCTGGGTTTGTTCATCTTGATTGAATTTCATCTGCCGTTTAATTCCCAAAACACCAAATTAATAAACTATATTGAATGTAATGATAAATGTAGGTGTTGGAACTAGGAATTGTGGTGCACTCAGTGGTGATTGGATTATCAATGGGAGCTTCAGAAAACCCATGCACAATCAGGCCTCTCATTGCTGCACTCTGCTTCCACCAACTGTTTGAGGGAATGGGCTTGGGTGGCTGCATACTGCAGGTGATCTATCCGGTTCATATATTCCCTAACAATTCAACACACATGAGCCAGTGGCATGTTAGAGACGCGAGCAGAAATTCAACTCAAAAGACTTCATTAATAGCAACATTTTTATCCAATGATCAACTCATTAAATGGCCATTCAGCAGGGAGGAATTTTGATTTTTGTCACTGCAAGTATATTAACTGTTTACTTCTGAATGGGAGAATTTGAGTGGGGGAAAATCACCAGCTCTTTGAGCTATAACACTTGCTATTTAACATTATAGAAGATATGCAAAGGATGATTATGTGCAGTTTGGCAAATTAAATATGAACTTAGTTGTAGAAATCATCACTTCCTCGAACTGGCTTGCTCACTCAACAGCACATGATATTGACGTGGAATTTGTTACCCTGACAAAACCTCCACCATCCAGTAGAAAACTTTAAGGACTGTAATTTTCAATTTGGGCATAATGTCCTCAGATGCCCCTTAAGATTCTTTATTGGCTGTTGCCGCTTCCCTTGTATTTCACAAAATAAAAAACAGAGCATCTCTGATCTAGTTCTAGTTACTGGGATTAACAGTGTATTATATTCTGTGTTGTTACAGGCTGAATATGGATACAAGATAAAGGGCATATTGGTTTTCTTCTTTTCTGTGACAACCCCATTTGGGATTGCTTTGGGAATTGGGCTATCAAGTGTGTACAGTGATACCAGCCCAACTTCCCTGATAGTGGAGGGCATTCTAAATGCTATATCTGCGGGGCTTCTGAATTATATGGCACTTGTGGAACTATTGGCGTCTGACTTTATGGGGCCTAAGCTTCAACAGAACATGAAGCTCCAGATTTGTTCGTATGTTGCCGTTTTGTTAGGTGCCGGAGGAA